GCTCTCCTCACCCATCCTGTAATTTTTATGATGGTTAATCCTGTACCTGCATTTCATTTCCTGGGCTAGTGCTGACAGGTGACAACCTGCCTTCCCTTAACTTTGGGCTTTACAGTTTCCAATCCTGGTTGACTATGAGGGAGTACAATGTACACTCCCTATTCACTGCATATGAGGGAGTACAGTGTGAAGTCCCTGTTAGCACTTATATCCACCTCCAAATCAGGGTCCTGGTGAGAAACTTAGAATGTCCATGCTTCAGAACAGTATCCTTGGCTCCAAGAATAGGATGTGCTGGGTCCCATATGAGATCTCCTGCTAAAGCAGAAGTGGTGGAGGCCCTGAAGACAAAAAAGCCAGCTTGCTCTTATCCATCTCAACTGGTAAAGGCCCTCTCACCCACCCCTCAAACACCTTTATTTTGAGATATAGTTTTCGCAGTGTTTGGAGGGTCCCACACCAAACAAGGTGAGTTAGCTTTCTACGGACAGAAATATAAGGCATAAAACTTATCAAAGTTCACTGCTGTGTGTGTGGCTTGAGAGTTAAGCCTCCTCTGAAGACACTTACTTGTGTCTGAGTCCTCTGAGCTTCATGACCTGCCTCACACCAATACTCAGTACCCTTTGACCCCATGAATGCCACTACTGGGAAGAAGGGTCCTGATGCTGGTACTGAGTCTGGATGAAGCAGGAGTCAGGGAAAGCAATAAAGAATTTATCAGTTTGGTACTAGCCCGGAACAATAGAGGGTGGAGAGGAAAGACGCAAATCATAGCGGTAGCAGCTAATATTTACTAACAATTTATCACTTGCCAGGTGCTTCACTGCTCTATGAGGTGAACACTAACTCCCTTCCCATCCTACTTAAGATCACTATCTGGGAAGTGGCAGAGCCAGGGCTGAACCCAGGTGGTCACAGAACCCAGGTGGAGATCACTTGCAGCCTGGATACCAGGCTTTGACAAAACACCCCCAGGGAGAGGCTAAATGGCCTCCAAGAGAGCAACTGTTGATACAGGCAGAGGACAATAAACTTGGGAGTCAGAGGTTTGGGTTTGAGCTGCAGCTCAGCTGTTAAATATATGATTCTCTACTGGCCATTTTTCCTCTCGAGCCTGTTTCCTCACCTATGACACAGAGCAGAAACTTTTATTGTCTGGCTTCTGAAGTCTGTGTAAACACTGAAGGGGAGCTAAGGAGATGGAGATGGGCATGCCCCCCACTTCAAGGAGAACAGCACTACTGTGACCTGCTGTAAATGGGGGATTGTATAACATTTCAAATGGGCAGAAAAAGATCTGTTACTGAAAAACCTATTTAATAACCCTGGGCCAGATGTCTCAGAGGCCACTACCATGTTTCTATCTAATGTCAGATACAGGAGTGACAGTGAAGAGTCAAAATGCACAGGATGTTTGGGACAAGAAGTGAGAGGTTCCGATGAAGCTTAATAGCCCATACGGTTTGTTTGTTGAATAGATAATGAGCAAAAGTTAAAGCTAGGTGTTAGAAAATCTCTGTTTTCCTCATCTAGAATATAACTATAAATCAGAGAAGATAGGAAATTCCTAATTTGTAAATGGGTGTGCTCTAGAGGGGGCACTCCCCACCCTGCAAGGTTCAAGTTCCTGTAACCACTTCCATATGTTATACTGTTTACTGGAAAGGTAAGGCAAACTTGAAGCACTTCCTGACTTGTTTATCTGGACTCTGACTATATTTTCCAAAAAGATAATCTGGGGAGGGTTGGAACAGAAGATATAAAATCAGCTGGGGAACAGGAAGAAAAAGATTCTCCTAAGGTAGAAAGTTAATACTTGGAGGAGAAAGAAAGGAAAAAGAAAAAAGTATGGAGCGGGGAGGAAATGATAAAAGACTAGGAAAAAAATGCATGTATATATGGTTGAAATTTTACTTGACTGACTAGTGCTGAAGATCAAACCCGGGGCCCCATCACGTTAGGCCAGCACTGTAGCACTGACCTATATATATATCCCTAGGTCCTAAAAATAAAATATTTCAGATGGTAAGTTGCAAGTGAGAAAAGAGAGGGAGTGAGGAAAAAAGTAAGCTCCCACTATCATACAAAAAGTAAGGAGGGGACTGGGGATTTAGCTCAGTGGTTCCAACGCCTGCCTTGCAAGCGCAAGGTCCTGAGTTTGATCCCCGGTACAAAAAAAAAAAAAAAAAAGAAGGAAGGAGGGAGGGGGTGTTAATTTAGGCCTGTGTCCCCAAAGTGCAATTCACACAACTCTGATCACTTGAGATGATTCTTCTAAAAGTTCTCTGGTTAGACAAGCTAGGAAACCCTTCAGCAGGTCACAGTGCCTCTGTGTACTAAAGGCACAAGAATGAGATATGCCTTCCTCAAACATATCTAGGAACTCTTGGACTAGATGTCTCAAAGGCCACCCTTACTTAGCATTCTTTTGCTCCAATCTCAAAGTAGGGGCAGAAGGTGTAGCTCTTTAGAAGTGTCTAGTGTTCACCAACACAGTGGTCTCATTGATCCATGCAGGCTTGATTATGTGTTTGGGGCAGGCAGGATTGTGTAGCCAGTACAAGATATTCAGAATTCTGGGGCCAGGGATTTAGCTCAGTGGTTTTGCCACCTGCTGTGCAAGCACAAGGACCCAAGTTTGATACCTGGTACCAAAAAAAAAAAAGATATGCAGAATTCTGTTATTTTAAGCCTAGGGAATATCTGTGTAAACTGTATTATAGAAATTTAAGCTGCCTATATTTTACTGGTCCAATATTTGTTTTGACTTCATAAAACAGTAAGTCTCACATTCACCTAAAATTCAACATAGCTATAAATTAACATCATCCTTTCCAGTCTTCCTTGATTGTAGCTACCTGAACTCAAAATTTCAGCATCATCACTAACTCTTTTACTCCCCTGCCCACACCAGCCTCCCAGTACTGGGGACTGAACCCAGGGCCTTGCACTTAGCTACATTCCTGCCCCCTCCCTTTTTTATTTTTAGGCAGGGTCTCACTAAGTTGCTTGGGCTGGGCTTGAACTTGTGATCCTTCTGTCTCCTGCTGAGATTACAGGAAATTCCACGTCAGAATGGAATCCAGTTTCTTTTACCTTTCTTTATCGAGTACACATTTTAGTAACTATACCAACTAGATCACAGTTGTCTATCTTCTGCTCTGGCAGGTGGGGGAGGGGCATCAGATCTGACAATATTGTGCCTATAGTGAATTACCTGGTTACTGGTATAATAACTATGAGAAAGAAACAAGATGCAGCTCAGTAATCCTTACTGGGCCCTGGTGACAATGGCTTCCTCTTCTAGGTGCTCAGTGCCATTCCTTTAATAACAACAGGCTCCTGAATCTTGCTATGATCAATGTAAGCTCAATGGCATTAGACAAGTGTTTATAAATGACAAGACTTTTCTTAAACAAATACTTGAAGTGACCTGCATTTTGTAGGACCTTTACCTGTTCACTCTTTCATTCTCCAATATTCTTCCAAAGTGAACCACAATGTGTAACTGTCTTGCTTGCAAGTGTTCAAAGGTCCCTGATCTGTACCTCACTTGGCTAACAGCCTCAAGGGATTTACTCACCACTACTTTTCTAACAGACTTTATAACAGGGTCTGTTCTTTTCTTCTCTGTCTGACAGGCTCAGCTCCAATGCCTGATCCCAGGGCCTCTGGTACTTTCCTACTCCACCACTGGTCGTTTCCATCTCCAAGAACATGCAGGCTCCTTTCTTCCTTGACATCCTCATTCACCAGCCCCAGATGAGAAGCCCATCTCTCTCCCAATCTTTAGAACCTAGTTTATATCCTAGTTCTTCCAAGTCACTGCTTTCTCCTCAGTTTCCAAAGCATTTCACAGCCACCATCCAATCATATGCTATTTGGGATTGTTAACAATAGTGTTGACTGGGAAAGTCTCACTTGACAAAAGTGGGTTGCTAAAAGTGGGTTTAAGACAGGTAGGAGTGAGACCGTACATTTCTTCAGAATCTCCTTGCATAATGGATACAGTGCCATGCACAGCAGTCCTCAGAAATGCTGGATGGACAGACTGCTGTTTCCACTTTCCCTTGTGGTCCAAGGAAAGGTGCACAAAGTCACTCAACATTGATGGAAGCAGTAAGCTGCCAACAATCTTACTACCTGAAGCAGACCCAGCATTTCTCTTGAAATGAAATGGACTTTGTACATGAGCATACTCTGTCTCTTCAAAAAATGTCACTGCACATAAGAGGTTACAGTCTAAAGATGTGAGCTGAAGTGTTTGGGATAAACTCCAGACTTGGTGATGAGGCTGACCTGTCTTCAGCATTAGTGTCCTAAACAGGTCTAAAGATTAAAACACATATAGATCAGATATACAGTGAGAAACTTTTCTTAGACTCATCCAGTCCACATGACTCTGAGATGGTCTGGAATCAGACTTTCCCAGACACTTCTCCAGGGATTGCCATGCAACCTCAACTCAGCACACTGTTTTCTGTGGGCACCCCGGAAAATATTGTGACTAGATAAATTTGAAGTTGCCTAAAACTCTGACATCCAAATGGGCAGTTTTGTTTTTCAAGGTAAAAAGGAAAATCTACAGCTACCCAAATATAGGAAATAATCAGTGCTTTATTTTGAGATACTTAGGGTTGTTTTTTTTCTCTCAATTTTGTTGGAAAGCTACTTCCAAAACACACACACACACCACCAATTTCCCTTGACTAACAGAGTTGATAGCAATGAGCAAGCACACTGATTGGCATTTAATTCAATTGCACTGTTTAAATAAGGATGGTAGTGGTGGTAGACCTGGCTGCTCATTGTAAAAGACCAACTCTATACTTAGTGGCACGGTGCCTGCCTGGCAAGTGCAAAGTCCCGAGTTCAATTCCCGGTACAAAAAAAAACGACCAACTCTACAGAATCACTCCCCTCCCCCGGCACTCATTATACACACATTTGCACATAAATATTCTCCCTCTTCCTCACTCCATCTTCCCAGACCTCACCTGGTTGATAACATAGATACCATAGTCCAACTGCTGGCGCTGTAAAATTGGGTGCAAATAATACAGCCAATACTTGAGGTGCTCCTGCCGGTTGCGGAATGGAATAATGATGGCCACCTTGTGAGGAGAGATGCAGTCTTTGGGGGTGTAGCGGCCGCCCATTTTTATCTCTGGGTTCTGCTTTGCCAAAAGCTCCAGATCCACAGGAATGTTAAATTCAATCAGCATGGGGCCAACTAGAGAGGTAGAAGAAAGGAGAAGTTAGGAAGCCACAGTATGCATAATCCACAGACTACATCAGATGATCAGGCCAGAGGAGACATCTCCTCTTAGGAGGCTGTGTGGGCATAGAAAGGATGCTCATGCCCAGCACCAGGTATGCTGTCCAGCAGCAGGGTGATCAATTACCTCAGGAAACCCCTCACTGCTAGGCAACCCAGGTGGTTGGTTACCCTCTGAAGCACTCCCAGCCCAGGACCCTCTCCCCACCCTGACTCCACATACAATAGAAACAATTCCTGCTCAGACTCCCTGATAGGCTGTTGTAAGGATGAGTGATCATAGATGAGAAAGGACTTTCTCATAAATCCCTAGGTTGGGACTGAGCTCTGCCACCTGCCAACTGTGTGGGCCTTGGACAAAGGATGGAAACTATTCTAAATAGGGGACAGTGTGTGTGGAGGTCAGTGTGGAGAAAATCAGCTTCAAATTAGAATGTAGTGGAGAGTAACAGACCTGATGTAGAAGTGAGCCAAACTGGATGGGGAGGGATGGAGGCAATGGACACTAGAAAAGAAAGAAAAGAAACTGCTGGGAAGACTATCAAAGAATGATTAATAACTGGAAGAGTAACAGTAACCAAGAGGATGAATGGTCAGGGATGAAGAAGGGTCAGAGATGACTTCAAAGTTTCTGGTCTGGAAGAACATGGATTCAGATCAGAGAAATAAGTCAGAGAATTCCTGGCTCAGAAGAAAAACTGATGAAGTGGTAGATGTTGAGGTAGCAGCAGGTTAGGAGTAGAGGGAAAAGGAACAGGTCAAAGTCCCTCACAGGGTATGTGGCATACACAGAGTCATCCAGGCACACAAAGGAAATCAGAGGCAGAAGCAAGACTTAAACCTAGGCTTCAGACTTCCTCAAAATGGGTTCCCAGAAGAAGCTGGTAGAAAAACATAATCCCTGGTCAAGTCAGCGAGGGAACTCTGCACATTAAATCCTGCTTCTGGAAAAGCATAATCCATACCAAAGGCTCTGCTCTGAGAAACTGCAGTCAAGAAACCCCTTTCACTTTATTAACTCACCATTTCTCAAACTTACTTGATCACAGAATTATTTTGTCAGAGAACACATTTGGGGAACTGTTACTATACTGTAACCATATTCACCTGTGAAGCAAACTAGCTATTAGAACAAAGAAACCTATAGAACATGTGGGAATGCTAACCACAAGCTCAGATCAAGGTTTACCTGGAACACAGTGGTGAAATCCACCCACCCCTGCCTAAGCCCAGTGTGCAGGCCTAAGTCTGCCCCATTGAGCAAAAGCACGTGGCTCCTCGTGCACTCCATGTGCCCAGGAATCACTCACCCTCCTGGAACAAAATAGCCTGAGAAAAAGAAACTATCAGCCTTCTCCTCCTTCCGGACAGCAGGTGCAGTTTGGCAGCTGCCACCTCCCTGCCCTTCCTCATATCACACCACAACCCCTCCCCACCATCAGTAACAGAGTTCCATCATCACAGGACCTGTTCCTATTAGTTCATTTTCTTCTGAGACACAGCTCTAATTAGATCACTTTTCCACTAAAAGCATCCTATGGCTTAAGGCTGTATGCTCTTATAAAAGGTTAAGACCAAATCCCCCAGTGAGGCAACAAGGCCCTCTAGTCAGCTGCCTGCCTCTGCCTCCACTCCTATAAATCATGCTTATGCCCACCTTTCCCTTTGCCAGAAATGCCTTTCCTTCCCTCCTTGAACCAGGAACTTTTGTATGAGACAGGCCTCAATTAGGCTTTATCACCACAGAATTCAGGCAGCACACCGCCGAGGCAGAGAAGATCCTCAAAGCTGCAAGTCTTGCTTCCTCCCTAGCCAAATCCTTCCTCCTGGAGGCCGGGGACCTCGTACATTAGTCTCCCATGGGATTGCTACTGCTGACTCAACTCCAACCTTCTAGGCTGCCCTCAGGGGAGCAAGAACTGTGATCCAGGACTAAATTAGTGGTCAACCTGGACCAGCTTTTCCCTATCATCAGAATCTCCTAAGGCAACTGGAATATGGACTCTCAGGCCCCTCCCCTAGAAAGTACAACTTAGCATGTCTTGGAAAGGACTTAAATGGATAATTAACAAGGTCTAGTCAGTGATGGCAAACCTTTTAGAGTTTTCAATAATATAAACAGCCCATTGTGACATGCAGGCTGTAGGTTCACCACCACTGCCATAGGTGATTCTAACTAGGCAAGCTGGGCAAGAGGGAGCTGCATGGCTCATTTTCACAAGCCTTGAGACTTTCAGGCAATAAGAGTCCTTAGGGATTCCCACCATTTCCACTGTTTCCCACAAGGTCCATCTGGCGTACGGTGTTCAATCTCCCACCCTGGCAAAGATCTCTGGGAGGCTCCGTGATAGAAAGAACTCATTAAAAAGAAGAAAAGAAGGTCCATCACTAGGCCCTTCTCACTAAAAGGGCCCCTCAACATCTGCAACCCAGCCTATCTTTTGTTCTGAAGGTATTACTAAACATAACCTCATTTTCAGGAACCTAAGAAGCATCTGGACTGCTACCCTAAGACTCACTCATACCTTCTGAAACCAACCCAGAAGACAGGAATTCACGTGTGGCCTGCCCAGGGCAGACACCTGCAGGCTGAAAAGTGTCCAAGTGTTTTCTCTGCACAGGTTGCAGAAAGGTGGTCCTGAGGTAAAGAGCCCCACACAAGAGAGGGGATGCGTAGGTCCTGGTCCAGCTGCACCAGTGATTTGCTGGATGATCCTGGGACGAGCACATCCACTCTCAGGATACTGGTCCACTTATAAATTGCAAGGATTCGACTGGATGAACTCTAAGGTGTCACAAAGCCCTGGCATGCCCAGAGATACTCCATAAACTAGAAAGAGAACAAGGACCCAAACCAAGATCTCCTGAAAATTCTTACCTGCCACTGAGAGGGCATGAATCACCAAAAAAGATAGGAAACAAGTGCCCTGGATGGGAGAGGTAGAAAGCAGACCTGATCACCAAACACCATACCCACCGAAGTGCCCACCTACTACTTATGCAGTCTCAGCCTCTTTCCTTGATGTCCATCTATGCCATCATCTCTTCTCACTGTCCCTAGACATTCCTCCTTCTCACTCTCACCCATGTAGGGCTTACCTTCATCTATAGGACACACACCTCTTTCTCTTTCTCCTGCCCATAGAGCTATGGAGAGACAGGACATGGCTAGCTATGTGTCACGGTCACCTTAAACTCAACTTGCCCCAAAAGAACTCATTTAAGCCGGCCCATCAGCACCTACAACCTAACCTCTACCCTCACATGGTTCTCACCATGGTTCCCTCAGCCACTCACACTGCTGCACACCCAGTATGGGAGTTGATACGTGGATTATCCATCTTCCACTTCCCAACCTTTTTCCAAACTATTTCTTTGTGTTTCTCTCTTGTGTCTCCCCAACAATCCATGGGAGTCTTACCAAATACAAAACCAGAGTTTTTACTGTAAAATGTTTGTTTAATGCAAACACTCCCTGTGATATATCAAGACCACTTTCAATCTGTTTCAATCAATACCTTCTGGGTACCAAACGACAGCCTACTGTGCCAGCCAAAGAGTTTTGGGTTGAGGCAGGAAAGATATGCAAGACAGTTACTGCTTCCTTGGTGCTCTGTGCTGAGCACACAGCACAACCTAAATGAAAATTACCCTGGTTCACCACTGCTTCTCCAATGGCTCTGTGCAGAGCTTAATCACTAAACAGCTTCTTCTCATTCTCCTGTTCACTCTCTCTCTCTTTTTTTTTTTTTTTGGTACGGGGGATCCAACTCCTGTTCTCTTCTCAGCCCTCTCTCAATCCCCATCATGCCTCCAACACATGGAGCACAGCTGACCCCCAGTCCTGCCCTCTCTGCTCATACTTCTCCATCTTCTGTCTGAAGCCTCCACAACTCCAGGAATCCTGCAGCTCATACCACTGAGACTAAATAGCATACAACAGAATCAAACCTGGAGTTGAATGCCTTCGTGGGTCCAGTGCCAGCCAGGAGGCCTCCAAGAGTGCCCTGCACACCTCCTGCCACAATTCAGGGGCTGACCTCTACTGCACACCTAGCTCAGTCTCAGGAAAAAATCCAGAGAACTCACATTCCAGGAGGGCAATGATCACCACTGTTCAGAATCATGCAGACCCGTTATCAGGTCTCAAAGTCACTGCCTGGGGCTCCAGGGACATGGATAAGGATACAAAGAGCTGAGGGCTTCATGACAATCCTCAGGCTAGGTAGGCCAAGGCAACCTTGCTGTGCGGCACATGGCTTTTGCTACCACAAGTCCTCAGCCCTGCTGGGCTGGCTTGTGTGTTTTCTTGGCTCTGGGAACTGGGAAGCAGGGTTACATAAGCAGATGAGCAGATGTGAGCTGTCCTCCAGTTCAAGCCCCGCCACATGAGTCTCTCAGCTGGGAGCCCAGGTCATGGCCTTGCGTGTAAGTCGCTCAATAACTTCAATATGTGAGCTCAACTCATACAAATTCCACTATTCCCTTGCCCAGCATGGCAAACCCAAACACATACATGCCGCTTTATCAAGCCACGCTATTTAAGCCAAGCCTACCATGGACTCCTGCCTGGTTTTCATGCTGGCTGAGCCACAGTTCAATCCTCTAACCTCAGCAAAACAGGCTGACAGGCCAGTGAGTAGTTCAGGACACAATCCCTGCTCTGAGGCTGGGTCGTGACAATGTTTCACCAGAATGAGAAGAAATGACAAAAGTAAAAACCTTTAGGTGGTTTTCATCAAACTAACAAAATACAGGAACACCCTTTCTTCTAAGATTAAGTGCTTCTTACTTTTTAAATGTTAAAGTATGGTAGTCTTTTTCTTTTTTTTTTTTTTTGGTAGTCTTTTTCTTATTAAACAATCATGATAGATTTTGACATTGGATTATTTTTAATTCTTTTTTTTTTTTTTTTTAAATCCTTTGTTGGCAGTCAGGCCACTGAATTTCTCCTA